CAAACTACCCCTACTCCATCACCGCCATTGAACTCGTTTTGAGCGATCAAAAAGAAACAGTTGTTACTCTGTGCTGGCCCAGTTGTTAGTGCAGCCAAATGTCATCCAACCAGCTGAATGGTTACAGAAGCCATTAAACCTTAGCAAGCTATACAGAGTCAGTCTGTGTTGTAAGCTATGACGTGATTGAGGTCTAACAAGTTTTCCTCTGGTAGGATATGGGAAGCGCAGGAAACATGCACCAAAAGAGAAAGCCTCTAAGAAAGGTTCTTCATTATCTGCTCAAGAGAAATATGGTTTCTAGACATCTGGTGTTGCCACCTTGCTGTTAATTGTGTTTCTGAACTGCCAGACAGCTCATTCATTCTCCTCACCTCTCACCAGCCAGGGAGGTACCTTCTACCCCCTCTTCCTGCCAGGACAACAGTTTCTAATATCACATGCTAGACCCTGGACTGCCTACATAGGCTCCATTTCTGCAGAGATGGACACAAAACAGGCAAGTACAAACCATGTAAAAACTTCTCAGACAAAAAGTTAGGATTCGAGCACAACACCACAGATATGCAGTCCTGTGGGACAAGGGCATACCCACAGGATCAGTGTTGTAGAGGAGGTTGGAAGCCAGAATTCAGTCCTTCATGAATAACCTCTCCAAAGCCCTGCTGTTTTTCTTTTCATGACCCATGGGTTAACATTCTCTACTGCTCACATTCTGAATACTTCCAAATAATTATACTCAGAAAATTCTAAAACAGATGTTTTCAGTTGTTTCTTCACTGGCAATCATGCTAGTTAATTACATTTGGCTTTAAGGGCTAGCAAAGGTAACTATGACATATTAAGCATGAGCTGCATGGTGCACACCTCTATCGTGTACAGCATGAACAATGATATATGAGTAAAGCATCTTCAGAGGTTTTCTCTGCATCTCATAAAAACTAATTAGCTTCAGGACACCTGTGATGTACAGAACACTTATTTTCCTTGTGCAGTGGGAACTATGCAGCCATAAAGGCTAGGATTTCTAAGGTCAACTTTCTAGAAGCAGTCTCAAATCTGGTTCACTGGAGCACCACTAACAGCAGGTTTGTTCTGGATCTGATTCAGTGTTATTCAATAGAATTGTCTTTTAAAAATCACTTCTGGAATGCTCCAGACCTGCTGCTCCTGATGGCCTTCCAGGGAGCTATGCCACATGTGTGTGGATGGCTGGAAAACTCCTTTTTGCCTTCCCCAAGCCTACTCATATTCCAGTCCCAAAATTGCAACATTATCAGTAGGTGCAGGGCTAATTCTTGCTTGGTCCATGGTCTTGCCACTGGTGCCATTGTCATCCCACAGGAACTGGCTGGCAGTTCTTTGGCAACATGTTCCTGTTGCCTAGATGTGCCAGGGACACACAGTGACTTTTGAAGTCATGCAGATGTAGCTACTCACGGTTTCCAGCTATGCACAGTTTCAGACACATCAGTTCCAGCACACTTTGGTGATGCTTTTATACCTTCGTTTCAGTTGAAAGAATTTGGTTCCTCCATCTGAAGTGCAGTAAATGGCTGGGACTTGCTCAGCTCAAGCTTCTAAATTGCAGTTCCACCCCATCTTTTCTGTATATGGCCCATGTTTTGCAAGCAGACCAACAGAGGAGGCCTAGCTGGAAGTATTCCACCACTATTCAGATGACAAAAACATGCCCATTTGATTTTGAAGTTGCTGATAAATACATGAGACAGTCTGTGAAGAGGAGACGGTATTCTGTTTTCCAAACATTTCTTGGAACAGCTCTTGTTTGGAGTGTTTATTCACACACCGATATGAAGCTATGTTACACCCAGCACAAGAGGGAAGCATAAAAGGTCAGTTTTCCTGATGATGTGAATAATTCTTGCCCCAGTGCAACCTCAAAATTTAACTGAATCATTCATTTGCAGAGAAGAAGCAGATGTTCAGAGTCCTCCAGCTTGGGCTACCCTCTGGAGAAGAAAGGTATGATATAAAGCTCAAGTTTTTCAATTGCCTAAATATACACACACAAAAGAAAACAGGCACTGCTTTTTGAACAAACCACTCAAAATAAAAGTAATTCCTTCTTTTAGGCACTTCAGCTCTGCAATAATGACCGTTCCAAGAATTTACTCTCTTAGAAACCAGCTCTATGTGGAGAACGGAGAAGCTACCAGACCGCTTTTCCAACACATAACTGGCTGCACACACTACTTAGATTCACACACTATATCTTTCCAAGACACACAACTTACATGCTGAGAAAAAAAGTCACTTGAAATGTCATGTTGCTGCTTTTCCTGGTGACACTGATCATACAATATTGTAATGTAAAATACTTGCCAATTTTTGCTTGTCCTGCTTGCTCTGGTGGAAGGTCACCAGTAGTTGGCTCTCTAAGACTTCTCTGAAGTGCATGGAGCGGCCTCTGCCTGAGCAAAGGAATTCCCCAGGCTTTGGATGATTATACAAATAATGTCACCATGATTCCTGTTTGCACTCATTGAACAAAGCTTGTTTTGTTTAGATCAGTGCAGCTATTATTTTATTATTATTATTATTTTTATGTCCTCAAATCTCACCTCACTAATTACACTGGTTGGCCAGTTTGCGAGCTGAAACAATACCTATCTCATAAGAAAATGGAATTCAAGCAACTAGATGCTAATTGAGATATGTCCATGTGTGGGGTTTGGAAACACAGTCATTTTGGAAGGTAGGTTTCAGTGTGTTAACTGTGATAGCATCAGAATTTAGTTTTAATTTAGTCTAGTTCAACTTGTTAGACAAAGGTTGCTAATTCAGGGTGGTTTTTGTTACTAAGTACTATGGCTGAGGGATTTGAAAGTTTACAGAGAGCTGAATATATGACAAAGAAAGACTTTTTTTTCAGAAACTCCCAAATGCAGATGGAAGTTACAAAATGCTTCCTTGAAGCTAATAATCCTTTATACTTCAAGTGCTGACTGGACTGGTTTTGCAAAATAAGCATTTCTTTAAAAAAACTGTTGCATACTTAAAATGTCTGCAGTCAAAAGAAGGACAGAAAGCAGATAAAGGTTCACTTAAAAAACCACCAAATTATAAAAAATAGCTTAAAATATTAAGAAATAAATCAGATTCTGAGATTAAATAAATCAGAGCTATGCAAATTCACAGCAGAAGGTCCGGCTGGAAAGTTTCATATTAATTTTTTAAAAATAAAATCATTCAAATGCAGGAATGTTTCTAGATTTCTTGCACCACTGAGGTTTTGGTAAGTGCTTCACTTGAAGTAACTTTGTATGATGTCATTGGAGATGCATCATTTTATGCCAGCTGTGCCTCAGGAAGCAGAAGACAGGAAGCAATACCCTGTACAGTACAGACAGAGCCAAGGGAAATGTTTTACTCTCCACCTGCTTGCAGCAGATGCAACCAGTCCTTAGTTCTGTATGGCTGGCTTCTCCACTCATCAGCCACCACTTGGAAAACTTCTGTGTTGTCAAAAATGGGGATTGGGAGGCAAAATGACACAAGTATCATGAGAAATCACTGTGTGATCCAAAGGCCAGCATTAGAGAACATTACCAAACACCAAACATCCAATGATTACTGTTGGCTTTGCCAATAAAATTCCTACTCATCACTTCCTTGGCTCAGAGAAACTTTTTATTGCAGTAAGCATTAGATATTGAGCACTGCCACCAGAGACAGTACACAGAGCTAGACAGACCAGTGTTCTACTCAAAAACAAATCCATTATTTTTTTAATGAAAACACTTTTAACCAAAGCACATACCATGTTTGTTCTATTCTTTTGCCTACTATATTCCATTTCTCTTAAAAGAAAATACAGTTATTATTAGAGATTTTTTGAGGTAAGTGATAGGAAGAAAATTACACATAGATCAAGAGCCAGAGTGGTAATGGCTGCTGTGTATGTGTTAATCAGAGGATGTGAACTGGCAGAAGAAACTTCCATGCATCAGCTCTGTGCTGCTTCACACGGCTGTGGTCCTGGACATAACACCCCCACAGCCCAACCAGTCACCTAGAAAATGACAACACCATGCCCCTACCTTGTTTCAAGTACACAAAGATGCACAATGCATTACTTTGAGGGAATAGCAACATCCGCCTTCCTGAAAGGTGCTCAGAGAGGCAATAAGTCCTCTTGAACTCTTACCAGAGAGGCCTGGTGGCTCAGATATTAAGGTACAGTAATGATCTCCAGGCTTGACTTTTCCCTAAATCGAGATTACCTTCTTTACATCTAGCACATCAGGGCAAGGTAATGACTTCAAGCTTATCCAGCAAATTGGAGCATAAAAAAATGCATGAATGACACAGAGTTTATTTTTAGTTTGGATTCTCCCCTTTCTATTTAGAGCATGAAGCTCAGAGGCAACAAATGAAAAAACAAGTCCCATGACAATGAGTTTTGCATTAACAGCTAGATGAGCCAGTGGAGCACACTACAAAGCAACAACAAGGGAGGTTTGAGGAGATACAGTCCACCCAGGTGACACCATAGCCACACTTAGATGAATGCTCAGAGTAAGCACACTTTCTAACCATGTTTCCTAAGGCAGGACCTCAGGTATGAGCTAACAAATTGCTTGTAAAAAACATGTACAAGTCTTGAGGAAATTAAAGTTAGGAGTGTGCAATGATACCAAATCTTTGATGATTCTCATCATCTCACCCAAATTTCTTTTTCACCCTATTTGGCTCTCATTGGTCATTTTCTCTTTGGTGAGAAACCTCAAGCAGACTCAAATCAATAGCATTCTTCCCTGTCTGTCATGTCAGCATGTAATGGTAGCTGTAAAAGCTACATAATGGTAGCTGTAAAAAACATCATCATCTAAGGCATTGGCTGGTAAGGCAAGGTGCAAGCAGTCAAAACGTCACAAACATGTCCCAGTACAAAGGTAGAGCTAAGATTTAGTGATGTTTCATTTGCTGTGGGATATGGGATGTGTAGATAGTGATGAAAATGGAGCAAGTGCTGCTCATTTACAGCAGAAGAATTTCACATTGTTGAGTGTTGTGTTGTCCTGAAGACCCTGCTGGGGCTCTACCTTGGTTTGGAGACTGCAGATGTTGCAAATTTTGCTCCACGGGCCAGCTCTACCCCACAGGAGTCCATCACCTACTAGTACAGTTTCATCTGAGCATCTGAAATGGATGTTGTTGGCTGCTGTGTCTTCACCTCCTCCTTGAGACTTCTCTGTTGTCAGTGAGAAGGAGATCAAGCAGCCCCCAGGGCAAACTTGGAAGCTGGTCCAGGTATCCCAGCCGACAAAAAGCAGAGGAACGTCTGGGCTCTGCAAACTGCTAGGAAGTGCTCCTTCTCCTTGTCATGCTGCCCTGAAGCTTAACACTTCCTTGCTCACAACAGTGACCAGCACATCATCCTGGTGCAGTCTGCGGCCCCTTACTTTCCCCTTTTTTCTTCCTTCCCTTCCAAGGATGTACTTTTCTTTCTATTGGCATCTCACCAGGAAGCCCACGATTGGATAGTTATGGTTCTGGTGGAAACTCCAAGGACAGCCTGAGCACATGTTTTATGATGCACCCCTGACCTGTCTCACAAGCACACACCAGGCATTAGGGAGAGCAGACACTCTGCTGTCTGGAGATGCAGTGCTGTTCACTGCAGCAGGGCCAGGGCTTCACCCAAACAGTATCTAAATGTATGGTTTAAAAAACGCTTTTCTCACATTTGCACCATGTGTGGCAGATTTCCAAAGAAGGACTCTATCCCTAGGACTATACTTAGGGTCTTCACAGTGCTCTGCAGAAATTTCAAGAGCAAACAGAAGGTGGTAATGTGGAGTAGCCATGTTTAATTAGCCTAAAAATTAATGAACAAAACCCTCAACCACCTGTTTTAATTTACTTTATACTATAGCATTATGCAGACAAAGCAAGACAAAGAAGAGACCCCTGCAAATGGTGACACCTATGGATATTTTGTGAGCTGGTGCATGACAAGCGGGGGAGAAACACAGTGCTACTTATTCCCCCACCAAGGACTAGATGACTGAGTCATCTTGACAATGCAGGCGTATGCCATTCAGAGCTGTGTCATCTCTCCCAAACTGGGAGGGCTCCACCTGCAGTAGAAGTCACACAGGGACAGAGGAAAAGGCAAGGGGGGGAGAAGACCCAGGAAAAGTCCTTTAAATGCCAGTCATAAACAGTTCCAATTCCTTTCTGTAATGAGAAAGAGAAAATGTCTTGGCAAGAACATTGGAAAGATATCTGTCACTAGGAAACTGCAATGTACCTACATGACCCTTGTAACATATTCTTCTTTGAGTTTTCTAACCATTTCTGACCCAAAATACAAGGCAGAGGCTCTGCGTCCCAGGAGAGACACTCGAGGAGGCTGCCTCTCTCCCTGACTCCAGCAGATTTCATTACTGACGTGTCTTCTCTGAGTAACATCAGCCACATGCAGACTGTACACCTGCCAGCACATCTCTATCCAGACTGAAAGCAAAACAATTCTGGTAGTAGCTCTGGTTTTGCTGTATCTAACGGGAGACCTCTTGTCCTAAAAGAAAAAAAAAAATCGTATTTTTCTTTACTGGTGTAACTACAGTGGCAACATTTTCTATATATTATATATGAAGACTCGGTACATGTAAAGATTATCGCAATCAGGAAGAGGAAAAACTCTTCAGAAAGTCCTTAGACTCTGAAGAAGACCCTCCTGGGAGGTGGAGAGTTGTAGACCAGGGCACAGGGACAGAAGATGGTGGGAAATAGGGAGAATTTTACCTTCAGCACAAATCCATTGGCATAGCCATAGCAGCAAAATTGCCCACTCCCCCATTTGCGCCAGTGGCCTCCACTGGGCGCAGTGAGGACACAGGTGTATTCACACACCCTTGGGCCTGGGGTGCAGAGGGAGAGGAGCAGGATGAGGGTAGCTGGCATAAAGAGCTTCACCTCTTGCACTCTGCAACTGCTGAAGGAAAGTTAGTATACAGACAGGGGAATTTATACCCTGCCAAGGCAGCTTGTATTTCCCCACTAGTCCATTGAGAAACACCATAGGAAAAATAGTTTCCACCCAGGCAGTGACACAGCAGTTGCTGACCTGCTCACAGTGCCCATGAGTAGCTCCCCTGGGAGTTTCACAGCCAACATGCAGAAGATGTTATGGCTGCAGGTGTATCCACCATTGCTGAAGGACTATAGAAAGACCTATGTGCTCCTTGCTATCCTTGTGACAGAGGCTTAATATCAATTCCTGCTTCTCACATTGCAGATACTTGGCTATGGTGATGTTTGCCTTTTGAGAGAAATGCTCGTAACCATTTTAGTTATTGCAGAATGTCTGGCAAGGCAGGTCAAACTATATGAAGAAACACAAGGGACCTGGTCTGGAATAAAGTATAAGTAAACTCAAGCCTTGTGTCTCCCAACACCCTTTGTTGAACAGGATTCCTGGTAAGCTTGACATATGTGTAGGTTATTTATGTTTTGGGGATTTTTTTCACTGTCATTTTTATCTCAATAATAAACACTGTGCTTTGCAATAAGCTTAACTGAAGTCAGACATGCTGAGATGCCCACAGTGATTCTCAGGGATCACTGAGGTAAATGCCATTGAGGGGGAAGGTAGAAGGCAGATTTTCCAGAAAGGTGGTACTGAAGGAAATTTAGGTGGACTGAAAACAGGCTGAAGAGCCAGGCCCAGAGGGTGGTAGTGATCAGAGGCACAAAGTCTGGTTGGAAGCCAGTAAGTAGTGGTGTACCCCAGGGGTCAATACTGGGTCCAGTCCTGTTTAAATCTTCACTAATGATCTGGACGAGGAGGCAGTGTACCCTGAGCAGGTTTGCTGGTGACACAAAACTGGGAGGAGTGGTTGATACACCATAGGGTTGTGCTGCCATCCAGAGAGACCTCAACAGGCTGGAGAAATGCACTGGTGGATACCTCATGAAGTTCATCAATGACCAATGCAAAGTCCTGTACATGGGGAAGAACAACCCCAGGCACCAGTGCATGCTGGTGGCCAGCCAGCTGGGAAGAAGTTTGGAAGAAAAGGACCTGGGGGTCCTGGTGGACATCAAGTCGAACATCAGCCAGTAATGTGCCCTTGCAGCAAAGAAGGCAAATGAAATCCTCGTCTGTATCAGGCAAAGCCTTGCCAGCAGGTCGAGCGAGGTGAACCTTCCCCTTTAACTCATCACTGGTGATGCCACACCTGGAGTGCTGTGTCCAGTGCTGGGCTCCTCAGTACAAGAGAGATATGGACATACTGGAGAGAGTCCAATGAAGGGCCACAAGAATGATTAAGAGGCTGGAATGTCTCTCCTATGAAGAAAGGCTGAGAGAGATGGAACTGTTCAGCCTAGAGAAGAGAAGGCTCAAGGGGGAACTCATCCATATATATAAATACCTGAAGGGTGGGTGCAAAGAGGACAGAGCCAGGCTCTTTTCAGTGGTGCTCAGTACAGGAACAGAGGCAATGAGCACAAACTCACACACAGGAGGTTCATCCTGAACATCAGGAAACACTTTTTTTGCGGTGAGGATGACCAAGTACTGGCACAGGCTCCCAGAGTTTGTGGAGTCTCCATCCTTGGATATATTCAAAAGCCATCTGGACAAGGTCCTGGGCAACTGGCTCCAGGTGACTCTGCTTGAGCAGGCAGGGTGCACCAGATGGCCTCCAGGGGTCCCTTCAGCCTCAACCATTCTCTGACTCTGTGATTCTGTGAACTGTAAGAGAGATGTCGATAGAAACAAGGCAGTACAAACAGCCATGAAGATAATCTCAGTGATGTTTTTTGCGTGAGTTGAAGGCAGCAAGTGCCCGTGATCTCAGGAGAGGAGTGAAGGTAGACAGCATCCACCAAAGAAGTCAGCAAGTACAGAGGGGCAGTTTTGGCTGAATGACTGTGTGTTTCGCTGTGCCCCAAGCCGTTTTATACTCCTCCCACTCTTACCAAGGTCCTGGTTGCCACCCACCAGCTCTCAGTAGCCATGTCCCTCAGCAGCTCCAATCCAAACTGGTCATTACAATTAGGTGTAAATCACACAGCCTAACTCTGTCAAACTTGTCTCAGCTGCAGCTTGGTGTGAAGATGAGACAACCCACAGGTAGCTGCATCCTGCAAAAGAACCCACTGTCTCATGGAAACAGTACATCATCAAACTCAGAAATCACACCTATTGCCAAAGAAACATGAAAGCGTAATAAAGAACCTATTCTATTCTACGAAAGTATGAATAAGACATTTACAGTGCAGATGTCTCCATCTGAAATAATCACCATCGTCTCCCTTTATAGCCACTGAGAGAGACTGTATGACGACAATAGAGAGAAACAGATACTTTCACATGAACCTCTCTCTAAAAATATCCATTCATCTCTGCTGACTACAGGGAGGCATGATACCCATCTGGACTAGTCTTATAACCTCAGTCTCTTTTTAGGTTTTAGTAGGCTAAAAACAGTAGTGCTGAAGTAGAATTAGTTTTCAGTAATATGAGCAAATGTTTAAGAGAACATGAGTAATCAAATTAAGTGTTGTCTGGTCCTCATTTTCTCATTTGTTAAATTGACTCAGATTAATAGAAAATAGAATAGCAGGAAAAATGCAAGTGAGAGACGTCAGAAGTGAGACGAGAACCAGGATTTTCTAGGTGCATGAGCAGAGAAAGATGCTTTACAGCAAACAACAGACTAAGTATAGCTGTTTCTCAGATGTAGGAAAAGACAGTTTTGCGTCAGTGATGGGGTGTAAAGAAGAGCTCCAAGGTGGTGCTCCTCTTGTTGTGAACTTGTTTTCAAGCAGTTTCCCACCTGGCCATGACCCCCAACTTTCATGTAAATCTTTCCTTGGAAACTTAGAAAATTTGGTGGTCTTACCTACTGGGCTGAGCATCCATCACGGGTTTTTAACACTGAAATTACAATCTTTACATTTTTTTATATTGTTTTATTTCTGTATTATCAATAGAATGAACTTCCTTTATCTATGAATTATGTATGTCTTCTTTCTATAGCCTTATTCTTTACTTGCTCATTGTAATTTTTGTTTACAATGAATAATTATTTTTATGCATTCTTGTGAAAGCCTAATTGCCCTGCAGTGGGAGCTCTCCATTTCTTTCGGTTCCCAGTTCTTTTCTGGGAGCCAGCATGCCAAAACTCCTTATTTTTGCCAGAGAACGCCACAAAACAATACTCTCTATAAATGAAACTGAGACAGAGAACCTGAAGAAACATAACAAGACAGCTTGTCCTAAGGCAGGATGAGTCCACACCTAAGTGTTCCCAAAGGAAAATTTTTTTATACGCACCCGAGATCCCTTAAGCAAGACAGTCTAGCGCTCGGCTGTACTTACTGTTGGACCAGCTCTCCTAACGTCTGCTGAAATGTAAGACAACTGTTTTTACTTGTTCATAACAGTATAGTTTATTCGTTTCTTCCCTCCACAGCCATTGACACACATGAAGACTATCATCACAGTCCTCTTCAGTCTTGCCTTCCTACTAAATAATCCAAATTCTTTCAGTCCTACTGCTTATAACATTTTATAGATCTAGTGTTTTGTGGAATTGGTTTGGGGATATTTTTTGCTTCTCCTCTATCAGTAGGTCCTTGAATTTCATCATCCAGAACTGTACCAAATATCCTAGTAGAGGTGAACAAAAATGGTGAGGAGAGAAGGATTATTCAGTGTGGCTGGAAGCTTGCAATTCTGTTCAGGCTTTCCAGTACAATTCCTGTCATTTTCACAACAGTATGACACTGTTGGCTCATGCTTAGGTTATGGTCCACTATACTCAGAATTGCTACAGAGGATCCTTGCCCTTTTCTTTAGTACTAAATTAATTTCTTAATTACTTGCTGTCCATTATGCCCACACAAGAACTGAAAACACATAAAGGGTCCACTCGTCACTAGATCTCATTGTGATTTCTACCTGCATAGGATGGCCAGCAAGCAAATCAAACAACCTTAAGAAACTTGTGAGCAAAAGGAAAGCAGAGACCATGGCCAGTAACGAAGAAATAGTTTTGCTCCTGTTTCATGGTTGTTTACACTCTTTGCACCAATATGTTCACTTCTTCTCTAGGCTGTGTTAGTGGTCAGAAGCAGCAGGAAAGGAGGTTCACAGACAAGGAAGAGAGAATAGTACCTAGAAAAGTAAGCATATCTCCTCAGGCAGGTCTGTATAAGGGTAGCCGGGGATGGGGAGAGGTGCTGTCTGGCTGCAGCCCAGGTGTGCTGGAAGGAGGTGGAGGGAAGCAGCAAAGAGAACAGCTGGGACTTGCAGATAAGGCCATAGCAGACAACTCAGTCCATTTCTACCCAGGGTACAGGACACCATCAGGTGACAGCAGAAACCAAAGTATTGTCTGATTTGGCTCTGACGCTTGACTCTTTCTGAAGGTTTAATCCTGCATATGCTGTTTTCTAGACATCATTTTTTCTGGTCCGTTCTGGACTGTGCCCAGCTGGTCACACATGTTTTGAACAGCATTTCAACAAAGATCTTTCCATTTCTGCATGGTACTGGAAAGGTGGAAACTTTCTATTTACTTATTTGGTTAAAATGCCCAATTAGATAGCAAAGGTGGGACTGGCACCTCCCTTCCTGTAGAACTGCTGCCTCACCAGCCACTCTCAGTTCTCTCTGAAGGTGGCTATTATCATGTCAGTTAATACTTCATATCTGTGCTTATGTTGAATTCTATCCCCATCCTGTAGTGCCTTCAGCATCTTCCAGGCTGGTACCATGTATAAATTTAAGAAGCAAGCTCTCTATTCTATTGTGCAAGTCATTAATAAAAATATTGAGTAATTCCAGACCCAGAACAGTCTCCTGTGGAACATGGCTCAATATATGTTTCTACAATTGGATCAGGCTTTTGACATTTTTTACCATTAATTCAAATTGCTAATTAACAAAAAGAAAAAGAGACAGACCCTCCTGTAGTGCAGATTTACTAACAGCGAGAGACCAAATGTCAATTTACACCTACTGCAAATCTATGACTGTATCTTCAACTAGAGATCACTTCACATATGAAAACTCTAGGAACTTGTTCTGAAAATACATTGGGAAAAGTTCTGAGGATTATCCTTAACCACAGCTGCAAGGCTCTTCAGTCCCCTGAACATGAGTGTTGTGGTGTATCTAATATGTCCAAAGTGATCCATTCCCCTGCTCCATGTCAGGGTCCTACACCCGAGGCTGTATATACTATGTATGCAGTAGTGCATACCTGGGCTTTCTTCTCCAGTAAACCAAGTAGTTCCCTTGTAGGGACAGGCTGCCACCAGCTACAGCATGTTCTGCACCAGTATGCAGATCAATCAGCATAATGGAGGCAAGTCAGTCCTCACTACTTGGTTGCAGAAAGCTGTCCGGTGCTAACAGCAATGCCAGGAAGAGTACTGCAGTCCCAGAACGTCCCCTGCAGAGAGCTGGGACCTCACAACTGCTCTTCTCATTGATGTCACCTTCACCAAGCTCCAACTGGTGGATCTTGACGATCCTCCCCACTTCTTTTCCTCTCCCTTTAACTAACCTGTGGAAAAAGGCAGTTGTGTGCTGTGGCTGGGTTTTGGCCATGCCTGCAGTGGCAAGGTGGATATGGATGCTAGCTCGGTAACGCCAAGCCAAAAAGAGCAGATTGAGCCTTCATCACTGACCAGTAGACTGCTGACCTGGGAGGTAGCCCTGATCCTGACACTGCTTCAGTTCTCCTTTGTCACAAAATTGTCCGAGCCACAATGGCCTGGACCCAATAGCTTTGCTTGGGGATCTGGACTCACACCATGTGGGAGGCTCTGGACTAACCAGAAGATAAATCAAGCATGATCAGCCACTTTGATGATGAGTTTTTCTGGGGTATCTCTCAGGAACAAATGACCAAAGGGAAAATACTGGTTAGGCATAGATTAACCCAAGATATCCTATACCTGGGTGTAGTTCAGAGTGAAAACTTGAAGGCTATTCCTTCTGAGTTATGAATAAGTATTTCTTCTGTGGTTTTGAACCTGTTATCTGCTTGGCTTCAACTCCTGCAAATGCATTAATCTGAACCTCCACCTATTGCCTCACCTCTGTCATAAACGTCAAGAGCAAGAATCAGTCACAACCTGCAAACAAAGGTAGCTGTTTGGGGCTTGATTTATTTATTATTTACACTCTGTTAAAACTCTGATTGGAAAGCTTCAGTTATTTGCTTTGGGAGTTTCCATAGTGTTCTTCACTGAGGTATCCAAGGGTTCCACAAACATTAGTTTCTCTTGTGAAATGAGGGAGTGACATTTCTCCATGTAATAGTCCAGGCACCAAGGTGCATAGACTAAAGACAAAAGAACCCATTCACTCAATGTGTCAGATATCTTTGACTAGATTTCAGGGTTTCAGGTATTACACAGCATATAATATATTCAAGGCCGAGGTACAACTGCTTGTAGGAAACTGTTCTGCAATTGAGAGTGTCTCAGTGCAAACAACTCAGAAAACAACCAATTATGAGGAAGCCATCTATGAATGACTGAAGTGATCTACCTGAACGACCAAATGAGGCATGACAGAGGTGCCCTAGGCAGCATTCACACTCAGCCAGGTTGCCCAGTCATCCCAGACTAACCATATCCAGACCCTGGCTTCCTGCATGGTGCCAAGATCCAGTCCCCTTTGCAACATTTTCTACTTTGTCTCTTGCCCAAAGACTCAGAAAGGAAAGGAAAAGAGGAACAATTACTCCAGCATCATTAGAAGTGTAGCACTAAATGGAGGCATATGTGCCACATCCCACTAGTTCCTGCTTTCATGGGCAATGCTGAGAGCTGCAGGGAGTAGGAAAGTCCTGAGGAGGTAGAAAGAGTAGCAGAGAGGCAAACAGAGGTGGATGTCTCTCTCCTTTCACCTAGACACTGAGCATTAACATGGGTAGAATCAAGAGGAGGCCAGCACAGCCACAGGGAGAAGGCAGGAGAGCCACTGCCAGCCCAGGAAAAGGTAGCATCCACCTGCCTGCAGAGCTCTCGCAGTCACAGGACTCTCTCGCACCTCCTCCTCCAGCCATGTGCATTTATGCAAGCCCACCTGGAGAAGGCGATGCCAGCTGGGCCCATGGGACCAAAGTACTTGCTAGTAAGCACAGGCTTCTCTTCTGATGGCTTGCTGTAGCTCCCACATCTCCTAATCTGGGTGTTCACTTGCAGCCAGTGGTTGGGAAGGGAGAAGAATTGCTGTGGAGGTGATGTTGGACATGAAGGAAACCTGCATGCTAGAAAAAGCAATGGCTTTTCCTCAACCCAGCTCCTATATCTGGTTTCTGGCCCCTCTTTATTTGATTTGGGAACTTCTGATGCTACACTGTCTGTGTACAGCACAGGTAGTGCTTCAGGAAAACAGGGGAGTGTGTCTCTGCTTTCTGTCCAGCACCAAGACACATGAAGGTGTGCATCTGGCCACAGCAGCTGTTGCAGCAATACTCCTTCTCTGCTCAGGGCTGAAGTATACCCAGCAGAGGTGGAATAACCAGTCAACTCAATGCAATTGCTGCCAAGGTTCATCTACACAGATGCAAAGTGCATTTTTTTTGTTACATTACATGTTTGCACTAATTAGGGATGATAATGAGATGCGGAGAGAGCATACATATGACAGATATTTTGTCAGACTTCACATTGTTCCAACACTACATGTTGCTGAATTGTTGACTTTTTAAAACAACGCAAAATGATTTTTCCTTAGCCTCCTTCTCAGAAACGCCTGAACCTGAAGTTTTACAGACAAGTACACAGCACAAGAAGTTTTACCAGAAGCCTTTATCATGTGGCAAAGCTACAACCAACTGAAAATCATTGGAAAGAAAGACTTGAGCAACCTAGTCAGGACAGCTGTTCTTCCTCCCT